AATTAGACGATATACGATAGAATGAATGTAAAACTAATGTTCTCCCATGTAAACTATCACATAATTCACAATAAAACATTTAAGAAAAAAAAAGATGGGTTTGAACCATAAGGTTCGCGCAAGCTCCCCGGTTACTCCTCGGAAACTTAAGAAAGGATCGCTATGAGTTGGAACCGACTCGACGGAACTTAACAACATATTCAAGGGAGAAGCTGTCAAAGTAGCACCGAGGCTGATATGTTACTTTTGTGGAAAAACAATAGCATTTGGCACATGGACACTTCTTAACACTAAAATGCAGATGCAGCAAAAAAAAAAAAAAAAAAAAAAGCAAGCAACAAAACTAAACCTTCTCTAGCAGTTTTCTAAGTAAAAGAGAAACTAATGGCCATAAGCTACAAGCTCTTTGGGCTGGAGAAGATCATGATAAAAAGTGCTATGAAGATACTTATTTTTGTTGAGTACAAGATTTGTTTGCATTTATCTCTGAGAGTGAAGAAAGTGGCATCAATAAGTAACCATATAAAATTTGGGATTTAATTTTATTTGGGTTGTAGTGAACGACAAAAAAGTACTTTTTTAATGGTGCTTCAAATTAATAAACTTAATTTCAGATTCTTGGCTGTTGAGATGATATTTTTTGACAGTGCTGATGGGTAGAAACTTTTCTGGTTAGACATAAGTCTGGTTACACTTTTGCTCAGCACATTTAAGCTTTGAAATTATCAGTAGTTCTCATGGATCTTTTAAAGTTTCTTTGTATATAATATAGAAGGCAGTTGTAGTTTCCCATCAGAGAAGGATTTCTCTTTCATCTGATTGGGCAAGTGTCTTAAGAGAAAGGAAATGAATGGCAGGGGATGCAAGTGTGCCGTGTCAGGCTTCGGAAGTCTCTAGCAGGTGGCCAGAGAGAAAATACAGAATCTCCCTTTTCCCTGTACAACCCAGCTCATATGGAAGATCCTCATTTACCAGCTGTTTTATCTTGTTCTTGGCGTTCTGCTAAGAATGTTATGAAGTCCACTAGTGTCTTTTGCTACAGCTGCCTGAACGCTGAGCTCATTTGGCTTGCTCAAAGCAAGCAATTGTTTTCAGCTGTTACGGGACCAAACTCAAATCTGGTTTTGCCTACTTCTTTCTTTATATAAACAGTATGTATTGTTCACCAAGCCTGATTGAAGACCTAGTCTTGTTGCTTGCCTCTGCTTCCTTCTGAACAGCTCTGCCAGGAGTGGGGTCCTGTAGCATTGTGATCTTCACAGCAGTACAGGAAGCTTAAGATTTCTTGGTGGCTGTGTGCTGTGGAGTCGGTTCCTACTCATAGAAACCCTGCATAGGGTTTCCGAAGCTGTAAATCTTTACGGGAGCAGAAAGCCTCATCTTTCTCCCATGGAATGGCTGGTAGTTTCAAACTCCTGACGTTGAGGTTAGCAGCCTGACTCATAACCACTATGCTACCAGAGCTCCTTTTAGATTTCGTAGATGAACTTGAAAAGACCTGACCTAGGCATCAAGACTGAGTTCTGGAACTGACATCACTGTTCATTTGCCACATGCCATGCATGGACATAGTCCTTCATTTCTCCTCAGACTTTGTTGTAAGTGCCGCAGAGTGTCTGATGAGTTTGAACCACTAATACTGTAGTTAGCCATCCAGTGCTTATGCTACAGCACATCAGGACTCCTTGTATTTTTCAATTAATTTCTAGTTCTATGAACCCATACCACCTGACTGTGGGCTAAAGGGGAGGGGAGTAGAGAGGCGATATGTAGGAGAGGTGATACGTAGAAAACAAAGTCTATCCAGGTTAAAAATCTGTCAGGATGTGAATAATTTACATGTAGATAAATCAGTTAGGTTGAACTTAATACCTTTACTAGAGGAAAATGCTGCCTTATACATTTTTTATTAAAAAATCATTAGAATTAAAAAAAAATTATTTAGAAGGATGAGTAGCCTGCATTTATATGAAAAAATGCAACACAGAAGAGTTGACACTAATTCTACTATTTCTCTATAAAGAAAAACAAACTGCTTTTCTCTGAAAGTATGTATTCAATAATGTTTTAGCTTGTTGTTAAGTGCTGTTGAGTTCGTTCTGACTCATAATGACCCTGTATAGGGTTTCCAAGGTGGGTTTGAATCACAGATCTTATGGTTTACAGTCCGGTGTGCTTATCCTGTAATTCCACACAAGGATTCCATGTTTTAGGTACTCCATGTTTATTGAAGGGAATATTGTTGTAGGTATGTAAACAGATATATATTTTTTAAGACTATCAAAAGGAAAGTTGAAATGATAAGGAATTGGCTGGTGGAAATGAAGGTATTCAGTCAAATTGGAATGTCACCACCACTTGCAAGATAAGCTCTGAGAGCCAGTGATGTGTGTAAAAAGGCTGTGGCAAGATGCAAAGGAGAGACCTGAGGCTGGGGGCCAGGGGTCTGCCATTCTTGCCTTGCCTGCTTCTGCCTAGATAGTTGTGTGATCTTAAGTCATCAAACTTTTCTGGACCCCTTCTACTTTTGTACAATAGATAATATTACCAGTTCTTCCTGCCATGAAATATTGTGATAAGGATATAATCAGATACTAAGAAGAATTTTGCAAAATTAGCATGCTTGGTAAAGTGGAGGGCTAGAAAAAATGAGGAAGACCCCCACCAAGATAGATTGGCACAGTGGTGGCAGCGATGGGCTCAGGCATAGCAACAATTGTGAGGTTGGTCTAGGACTGGGCAGTGTTTTATTCTGTTGTGTCGGGGACCAGCCTCGACATAGGAACATGGTTCACGAGGTGGGGATATCTGGGGGCTGTAAAGATATAGAAAGAATACACAGAAAGACACAAAGAGGGAGACAAAGAGACACCCCGAAACCATAGTGGATGCGGGACTGGCATCAGGCAGATCCTGCATTTAAACATCTCAGCCAAGAAGGCCGTAATATCCTGCATAGTAAACATCTTGGCTAAGCAGGCAGTATGGTTGCAATGCTGGACTGAGCCCCCTGCATGCTGTAGTGCACGCCTTGCCAGTTGTAATGCACGTTCTTAACGCATGCCCGTAATGCACCTGGATTCGTTCTGCGCCTCCGTTTTATTTAGGGGAGGAACCTTACACCAAGCTGGGAGGGACTAAGACAAGGTACCGCTAACATAGATAATTTTCCTGACGTTCAGGCAACTTTACATCGTAATTTGCAGGTTCGAATCCCAGGCCCGCAACTTGGTTTCTCAGGCTCAATTAACATATCTATAGCACCTGGGCTCAGTTGGGGGAAGGTGAGAAGGAAGGTCAAAAGGCTTGGGAGGAGTCCCGCTGTGTTGGCTTCCTGAGCCAGGTTTGCAGGAACCTAGTTGAATGGCCTGCACCTGGGAGAGATTTAGGGAGGATGTCCTTTTGTCTATAGAACAAAGAACCGGGAAGTAGCAAGACTATTTTTAGTCAATCCTTTGGAGAAAAGCTTTACCTTTGAAACCTTTACAGTCTCGGCTTTAGGAAAATATTACATTTATCTGTGGCTATTAAGGGCTCATGTATGGAATTAATAACAAACATAACTGGATACTAAGATGAAAAACAGTTTGCCATGTCTGCCAGGTGGCTAGAGTCTGTTCCTCAGAGCCTGCGGCCTGTATGGTCTGCAACACTTGGGCCCACAGGGCCTCGAACTCCTGACAGGGTCTGGACGGGCTGCAACACTGTTGTACATATGAGTCCCTATGTGTCGGTACTGACTCGATGGCACCTACCAACAACAATAAGACATAATTTTATGGAGATATAAATATTAGATTGGATTGATCAGCATAGAAAATGAAATTTTGATGAAGGTGTTCCTTAAGATCATTCAGCTTCTTTTGCTCTAAATCTGAAGTCTTTTAGTGTCTTTGTGATAGAATATAGTTGATTTTCCAGATTGAATTTCAGACAGGCAGTTTGCTCTTGGATGCATTGAGGCAGGAAAAGTCTGTGGCCTACAGAGAAAACCCCATTCTAGAACTGAAGGTTAAAGGGTGCTGACAGACAGTGCAGTATGTTCACTGGTGACCATCTGCGTCTGCGTGAAGAATGGAAGTGGGGGAGAGTGCAGCAATGAAGAAATGAGTTTGAGAGAAGAGGAAGGACTAGCTGGTCTGGAGTTGAGGGAATTGTGTGCACTTCTAAGCCTACAGGAATTGACCTAAACCTTGGGGGCTTGAGCTGAGAGAGTGAGTGAATGGAAGGAGTCAGCTGATGTGAAGTGCAGGGAGGAGGGTGTGGACTCCCAGGCCTGCATTGTAAAAGATGATGAACTTGCTCTAAAAACAAAACAGTTACCTGGAGCTGACAGTAAATTTGTCAGTCCAAGGTCATGACGAATTAATACATTTTTTGGTCTACAAATTGGTCTTATAAGGATTTGGTGGTGTGTCTAGATTTACTAGAATGTGACCTGGTAAAATCCTTGTTCAGACCCAGTCTGAGAAACCTGAAAGCCACATGTGCCCGAGGTCCTTAGAAAACTAATCCTGGAGGAGAGCAGATGAAAGGAAGGTTTGTTTTTGTTGAATGTGATTAATGAAAGTGTTTAAAATGAAAGTATAATCGTATTGCACAAAGGATTCTTTGATTGATTGATTGATTTTCCCTTTTCAGGACCCCAAGAGGCTTTGTGCTCTGTGGAAAAAGTGTTTCTATACAGTTGCTCCAATGACAGAGTTACCTGCACCCTTGTCCTACTTCCAGAATGCACAGATGTCCGAAGACAACCACCTGAGCAATACTGTACGTAGCCAGGTACAGTGTCAGCCTCTGAAACTGCCCTGGCTAGATTGTGGGTGCAATTACCATCTCTTTTCATGTCCAAGAGACACTGAGTGACTTCCTTTACATTACCAAATGAATGTGTGTAGTTGTTGAGCTGCAACTGAGGACAGTGCTTTGTACCCTTTGGTGCTGTGAGCACATGAGTGTTCGTACAGCTGTTCCTTGGTTCAGATGCCTCCTTAGTTGAATCATTCTCCAACTTTTCTAGGTGTATGTCACCTGATAGTTCCTCAGTGTTTACTATTTTAAATTTACTATTAACTATTTACCTATCTTGTGTTTTTGTTTTTAGAGCAGACTCATCATCTTACTTACTTTTTTCCTTTTATTTCCAAGGCTGACACATGTTGTTAGGTGCCGTTGAGTCTCCTGACTCATAACGACCTTAGGACAGAATGAAACACTGCCCAGTTTTGCACTGTCCTCACAACTGTTGCTATATTTGAGACCATTGGGGCTGCCACAGTGTCAGTCCATTTAGTTGAGGGTCTTCCTGTTTTTCATTAACCCTCTACTTTACCATGCATGATGTCCTTCTCCAGGGACTGATAGTGTGTCCAAAGTCTTGTCATCATCACGTCTAAGGAGCATTCTCTATGTACTAAAGTAAATAAAATGCATGTTTACTTTTTTTTGTTTTTTGCCCCAGTTGTTGTTGTAGTTAAGTGCCATCGAGTCGGTTCTGACCCATAGTGACTCTGTATAGGGTTTCCAAGGAGTGACTGGTGAGCTTGAACCACCTACCTTGTAGTTTAAACGGCTTTGCAGTCTGGCACATTAACGCACAGCACCACACCAGGACTCTGTACCTATTATAATTCTTCACAGTGCTCAGTTAATGTTCATTAACTGTGTGGATCATATAAAACTATGGATAGCATTGCAAAAAATGGATAATCAAGAACACTTAATTGTGCTCATGAGGAACCTGTACGTAGACCAAATGACAGTCATTAGAACAGAACAATGTAATATTGAATGGTTTAAAATCAGTAAAGTTGTGTGCTGGGGTGTATCCTTTTGCCATACTCATTCAATCTGTATGTTGTTGTTGTTGTTGTTAAGTGCCGTCGAGTCGGTTCCGACCCATAGCGACCCTGAACAGGGTTTCCGAGGGTGTAAATCTTTACGGGAGTAGAAAGCCTCATCTTTCTCCCGCGGAGCGGCTGGTAGTTTCGAACCACTGACCTTAAGGTTCACAGCCCGATTCGTAACCACTACGCTACCAGAGCTCCCTGTATGGTGAGCAAATAATCCAAGAAGCTGGATTATATGAAATAGAATGTGAGTTAAGATTGGAGGAAGACACTTTAACATAATCTGTGGTATGCAGGTGACACACCCTTACTAGCTGGAAGCGAAGGGAACTTGAAATACTTCTTGATGAAGATCAAAGATGCAGCCTTCAGTATAAATTCACTTAGATGAAGAGAAAATGAAAAGCCTCACAACTGGAGTAATAAATAACATCATGATAAATGTAGACAGATTGACTCATTTTACTTGGATCCGTAATCAATGTTTATGGAAGCAGCAGTCAAGAACTCAAGGGACAGATTGCGCATTAGGCATATCTGTTGCAAGAGACCTCTTTAAACTGTGAAAGAGCAAACATGTCATTTGAGGATTAAGGTATGCCTGACTCAAGTCATGGTATTTTCAGTCATTTTATATACATGTGAAAGTTGGACAATGAATAAGGAAGATCAAAGAAGAATCGATACACTTGAATTATGGTGTTGGCAAAGAATATTTGAAGTACCGTGGTTTGCCAGGAGAACAAACAACTGTCTTGGAAAGTATAGCTAGAATCTTCCTAGAGTACGGATGACAAGATTTTTTCTCTTATAATTTGCACATCTCAGGAGGTACCAGTGCATGGAGAAGGACTTCATGCTTGGTAAAATAGAGGGTCAGTGACAAAGAGGAAGACCTCTAATGAGATGGATTGGCATGATAGCAGCACCAATGGACTCCAACATAACAATTGTGAGGAGAATACAGGACTGGTCAGTGTTTTGTTCATAGAGTCACTTGGAGGAGTCAGAACTGACTTGACAGCACCAAACAATAACAACAAAGTTCTTCACAGTGCTTGGTAAATGTTCATTGACCAAGTGATTGTGCAATGATGAATGTAAGGCTATGTGTAGAAGTGTTCAGAGAGTTCAGCAGAGGGAATCAGGAAAGGGGTGTGATTCATGCCATGGGATAGACTTATCAGTCACACAGAAGTCAAATCTACCTGTGAGCTAATCATTAGAGATTGAATCCAGGCTCTACACATGACCTGTGAAATAACTAGAGAATTGGTGGAATTTTAAGAGGAGGAGCATGAATGGGGGGACATCAAACACCAAATAGAAGCGTTTGATGGCTGCACTGGGAAGGGAGGTCAGGACCTCTGTTAAAACCAGAGGACAGGGCTATGAAGAGTGGTAGAAGTTACCATTAAAGGGGTTCTGGACAAGTGAAAAGAATTTTTTTTTCAGAATTACAGTAAGTCTGAAAGAGCATGGGCTGCTTTGTGGGCTAGTGTGCTTGTCACTGAAAGTAATCACACTAGATTGGAAGACCACTGACCAAATTTGCTGAGGAAAGAAAACTTGAACTAGAGTAGTGGTGATCGGCCTGAAGTTCTCTTTATATGCCAAAGATTCAGGATTCCAATTAAAGGACAAAATGTGTGGGGAGAAGCCTCACAAAGTAGAGTTTGAAGGATGGGTAGGATTAGAATAGAGCAAACAGGATGTCATTACTAATAGAAAAATGATTATGAGTGAGGAAGCATTTTCTGAAAATGTTAGTTGATAAGGATCCCATCCTTTGAGATAAGTCAACAAAGGCAGATCATACTGTATTTCTAGAACATTTTTAATCAAGTGAAATCAAGTTAAATGAGTATCAAGGGAAGCCCTGGAAAGGACCACAGCCTAGGGTTGTAGCTTGAGGGCATTGTCAGGGAGTCTAACTGGAGGGGGAGTGTCTGGGAGTGGAGAGGGGCTCTTCCACCTTGAGCTGTGTTGGTATTTAGTGCTTGTTAGTTGCTGTGGAGTCTCATTGTCTCCAACACATTTTGGCTTGGTTATTAAGTGGGGGGGTGGTGTTAAAGACAGATTTTGCAACAATCAATTTGCTCCTTTATTCATCAGAAACTTGATATATATTTTCCTTTTTGCTGTCTTTGGAAATAGCTTTTTAAAAAGTTAGGAGGGGGGCCGGATTATGAAGTTCTCTGGATACAGATTATGAGAGTTTGAATGCTACAGGCTTTATATTCATTTTCAAACTGTTACTTTAAGGAAAGGAGTAGAAATAGACTTATGTAGGTCCCTGAGTACCCCTTACTTAACCATTATTGTTATTAGGTGCTGGTTTTTGTCTTAAAGTTTATTTTATCAGAGATTAGAATTGCCATTCTTGCTTGTTTATTGTTGCAGTTAGCTTGTTATATTTTTTTCCATCCTTTAACTGTTAGTCTGTTTTTGTCTGTGTGAAGTGTGTCTCTTGCAGGTAGCATATTGAAGGGTCTTGTTTTCTTATCCAGTCTGTCACTCTCTGTCTCTTGACTGGTGCATTCAATCCATTGACATTCAATGTAATTATCAATAGGTGTGAATTAATTGCTGTCATTTTATTAATTTTTTGGTAGCTCTTTGTTGTTCCTTTGTTCTGCATGCCTTCTTGTGCTGAGTTTCTGTGTTTTGTGCTGTTTCTTGTCGGTTTCTTCTTAATTTTCATGTTTGCTTGTTCTACCTGGAAGTTCATTTTCATGGTAAGTTGTGAAGTATTAACTTTCTTTGGGGTTACCTTATAGTCTGTTAACTTTGGGTTACCTTATAGTCTGTTAACTTTTCTCTCCATTTAAGAGAAGCTATTGTATCCTGTAATCTATCTGACATCCTCACCACCTGGGTCTCTGTTCCTACATTTGTCCCTTTTTTGACATTGCTATTATTTTTAACTTTGGTTGACCTCCCAGCTCCTTTGAATTCGTTGTTGTAGTTTTGTTCTGGTTTGAACTCTGCTGTCTGTCGTGTGAGTTCCAGGTGGTGTTGCCATGCCTGTCAATCTCTGGTTGTTGTCTGTTCTTGTTGGTTTTCAGTCCAAAGAACTCCCTTTAGGATGTTTTGAAGTGTTGGATTGGTTTTGATAAAATCTCTTAGATTCTGTTTATCCTGGAATGGTTTGATTGCACCCTTGTATTTGATTGATAGTTTTGCTGGATAGACGATTCTTGGTTAGCAGTTTTTTTCTTTTAGGGTTTTTTTGTATGACTCCCTATTGCCTTCTTGCCTTCATGGTTTCTGCTGAGAAGTCAGAGTTTAATCTGATTTGCTTGCCTTTGTAAATGACACTTCTCTTTTCCCTCACCACTTTTAGAAATCTCTCCTGTCTTTGATTTTGGAGAGCTTGATTATTATATGTCTTGATGACTTTCTTTTGGGGTCTATCCTTCCTGGGGTATGTTCGGCTTCTTGAATGTTTATCGTCCCATCTTTCAAGATGTTAGGGAAATGTTCTTCCAGAAGCTCTTGAACTGTCTCCTCTGTGGACTTCTCTGATTCTTCCTTTTCCATAATACCAGTAATTCTTAAGTTGTTCTCTCCATGTTATCCAGCATGAATCTTAGACTCTTTTCAAATTTTTAAATTCTTTTCTCTGCTTGCGCTTCTATCTTAGCAGTATTGAGAGATTTGTCTTCCACCTTGCTAGTTCTAGCTTTTATCTCTTCTGTTCTGCTCGTTTCCCCCTTCAGTGTATTGTCCATTTCTGATACTTTATTATTAATCATCTGAACCTCTTTTTGCAGTTTTGATTTGTTTCCAGTGCTGTATCAATCTTGTTTGATTGCTTTTGTAGTACTTTCCTGACTTCCATGTTTTCCGCTACCCATTTTCAGAGCATTTAAATTTGTTTCCACATCATTCTTCTGAATTCTTTCTCAGGCAAATCCA